TCGGGTCTCGGGCCGAGAAGACACACACAGAGGCCTGGCCCTTCTGGGGAGGTGCGGAGGCCTCCCGTGGCTGGGCCTCACCCTGAGTTTTTTTTTCTTTGGCCTGAGATGGTATTTAAGGGGGTGTCTTGGGCCACTTAGGGGGTAACTGGCTCCCCGGGTCTGTCCCATGTATACAGGCGGCTACTGAGCTCCTGCACGCTTTTCTCCTGTTAATCTGCCTTTTGTGATGGGGTGGGACACCCCATCCCTGGAGCACCAGACAGGAAATTATCTCCTCCTAGGTTATCTTCCCCGGCGTTTTCCAAATTCAAAATTCTTTCTGGACAGTACGGTGGCGCGTACTTTTCCTTGACGTCAGACATTGTCTCGCCATGTCTCCTTTCTGTCTGCAAAGGAGCGGTGGGACCCTCGGCTGCTTCCCTGGAGAGGGTTAGTTGGACGGGAGCTGTGGCTCCCTCACGGCTCCCGGGAGAGCCTTGTGCTTCAGGAGAAGGACTTTGTGGATTTCCCCAGGACTGCGCCCAAGAGAACAATGCCACCCCAGAGAGCCGACGCGCACGTAACTCTCTCCTCAAACATCAGCTCCTGGTCTTTGATTTCTGCTGTGTGGGGGAGTGAGAGCGGAGAGCGTGGTGCAGACTCCTGTTCTTCTGCAGGCGCGGGGCCACAAGCCGCCTGGCCTGTGGCCAACTTGGGATTTCTCACAAAGGAGTTTTCCTTTCCAGCAAGGTTTGGGTTACTTGGGGTGGCCCTGGACCCGCCTTTCTTTTTCTCAGTGGGAAGCAGCAGTGGAGGGGAGAGGGGGTGCCCCCCCCCGGGGTCTTCTCTGGCTGGTCGGATAATCAAATAAACATCAGGCAGATTCACAAGAGAAAAAGAAAATGAATTTGACAGCTGAAGTGTGCACACCGGGACTCTAACTAGATGTGTGGATTCCAAAGACGGGGGGAGCCCTGGGGGATCTACACCCGCCTAAGGAATGGGGCAGGGCCTGGGGTTCATGGAGAGAAGGGGGCTCGCATCCCCAAGACCAACTGCCCTGTAGTTGCGTGTCTGTCCTGCGTGCAGATGGCTTTTCCTGGGAGAAAGGTTACTTCTCGCCATGATTCTGAGTAACACCCCAGTTTTCATTTTTCCAGCTAGTTAAGGAAGTGATACACTTTTATCGAGACTGCAGGGCCTAGACGGCTTCAGCTTGAAATAATCCGGATGCCGCATCCCAGATCTTGGGGAGCCTGTCTCGTGCATTGTGGGAGGCCTGTTCTGACCGTCTCAGGGAAGGCCAGCCTTCAGAGCCAAGCACCCAGTTATGAGGAATGAGAACAGGAAGTTCCGGAGTCTCCTGATTACTTTCCTGTGGCTTTGGCAAAAGATTCCGCAAAGGTCCCGGCTTCCACGATAGAACTCCGTGCTTGTGTGATTGTGGGGGGCAGAATTCTGGCCCCCACGGGAGCCACCTGTGGAGGCCTTTCCCTTCCCCTTCCCTCCCCCCCAGCTGCTGGCGGGCCTGTGGCTCTCTGCGTGGGGCTGAGTCCTGTCCAGCCTCGGCCTCCAGCTTCACATGGTCTCCTCTCATCTCTTAAAAGGACCCGACACAGGGTGGACGCCAAGCCAGGAGGCTTGGTCCTACCTTAGGGTGCAGGGAGTAAAACACAGCACTGAGAAGCTGAAGCCACCGCAGCACGAGTTCAATCCCCGCCCGGAGGTGACCACAGGGCGCAGCAGACCTCTGCTGACACCCCGCTGCTCCCCTCAGCAGTGTACCTCGTTGATCGGCCTGTTCTGCTCCCCGCTCTGTCTCTGGTGAAGCCTCTCGCTGCCCCTGCACCTCTGGCCTGTCCCCCAGTTCTGTAAGCACAAGTAACTACATCTTTTAAAAAAAAAATCCCAGCAAAGGCTCTTTCCCAGTAAGTCCCTACTCCCAGGTGCAGAGGTGAGGACGGACCCTTCCTGTCCAATCCATGCCGGTCCCGCTGGGGCCCCCACTCCCACTGCAGACACGTCTGCCCACGCGCCCACGAGGCCTTTACTTTGGGGCCGTGGCTGCCGTGACACTGTCCAGAATGGCGTGCCCAGCTCCACGGACATAAATAGCGCTCGACCTCCTGCAGAATCCTAAGCAACCGACACAGTCTCTCGGGAGAGAGAACGGCTTCTGCAGGAAACAGACGTGCGTCTTTGATATCCAAAAGCCAGAGGACCCAGAAGACTTGAGGGAAAACTTTAAAGATAGAACTGTCCTCCCGTTCTGAGCGCTCCTGCAGAGCCAGGCCTCACAGTGGCTTGGAGGCCGCAGAGAGGCGCCGCCAGTGGCTGCCTGGGCTGCTCGGCCTTGTGCTAGGGGCCGTCGCGCCTCTCTGCAGATGGGGAAACCGAGGCACGGCTCCCCCGCGAGTGTGGCGGTGCCCGGTCATCGGCCCCAAGCTGGGCCACTCGGAGCGTGTGAGGGACCCAGGCGGGGCCTTCTGCGGGCACCACCGGCTTGGGCGGGACAGAGAGCCACACTCCGCCCTGCTCTGGCTCCGCCCAGCCTCTGCGGGCTTGCGGCTCTCCTGGGCCCCGGCAGGTCGGGCGGGTGGGCCCGCTGCAGGCGCCGTTACCTGCAGCCTCTGGGACTAATCTGTTCCCGCCGGAGTGGCGAGCTTCCAGCTTGAGTCCAGCGAGACAGAAGCATCCTCAGAGCGGCTTCCGCACTGAGCAAGGTTGACACCCCAATGTCATCAAAATAAAAACCCAGCCCGGGCTCTGTCAGTTACTCCTGACAAGAGTGAGTGATGCCCGCACAGTGGGTAGAGCTGGGTTCCGCCAGCTGGCATCGTGCTCTTACTTGGGTGGGCCCTCAGTGGCAGGAAAAGCAAACACCTACCCCGGGTTTATGGGCTTCGTTAGAGGGATAAACGCTGCCGCTTCCGTTTGGGTAGGTCATGGTGAAGCTTGGACTGTCCCCTAAGCCCCGCCTGTCCCCGAAGGGAGGGCGATGCTTCCCTGCCAGGCTCAGCATGGCACAGGGAGCAGCTGCTTCTCACCAGCGTCTCAAGGTTCCAAAAGGATCTGAGCTTGTCGTCAGCCCCACACCTGTTCTCTGTGTTTTGTAGGGTGAGTTCAAGTGAGTTCAGAGTATGGGGTTTGCACCCCAACATCCAGGTTCAGTCGGAGACCTCAGCCCTTGCGGTAGGCGAGAGCCGGAGCCCGAGCCCTAGGACTGTGCCCAGCAGATGGTCCGAGCCTTGTGAGGGTCCGTTCCGGCTCCGTGACAGGGCACACAGGCCAGCGACTTAAACAACAGCGACTGGTTTCAGAAACTGGACGCCCAAGGCCAGGGTGCTGGCAGCCTTGGGTCTCCCTGGCATCGCCTCTGTGTCCTCACTTGGCATTTCCTGGGTGCCTGCAGCAAGAGGACCAGCTCCCTGGCCTCTGGTCTCCCCGATCAGAGCCCCCCCTACAGCCTCATGGAACATTGATGGTATCCTTAAGGACCTGGCTCCAGGTCCAGCCACGTCGGGTGGGGGTTCAGGGCTTCAGCCTGCGCTTTGGGGATGGCACAGACACCTTCATGCAGTTTCTGACCCATCCCTGGTCAGAGCCTGGGGTGGGGCCTGAGGGAGCATGTTACCGAATGACTCGGGGGTTGCTGGGACACCAACCCCCTTGAATATCAGCGCCCCAGATGCCCTTCGGTCACAGGTGGGGGGTCGTTGAGGGTCTCCGGGCCGGTGGTACGAGCTCGTGGAGTCCCACTTGGCTTGCAGAGGCCTCGGAGCTGGATTGCAGCCCTAAACCCGTCAGGACGCTGGTCCACCTGAGCCTCCGCTGAGCCCAGGCCTTGCTGGCAAAGCACCCCCAGGCAGCCCTTGCATTTATTCGGGTGTTTTGAGGCTTCCACACCTAGAACAAGACCTGGAAAGCAACAGGTGCTGAGTGCATACCTTATCGCCTGTGTGTGTGAGAGACACGTGCCATTCTAATTGGCCGGTTCCTGAGGGTAGAAGCCATGTTGTTGATCTTTACATGCCAGGAAAGGCAAAATATGCATGAAAAAGTGGGCATGCAAGAAATACGGAGAGGTGGATGAATGAGTGGATGGATAGATACATGGATAATGGGTGGATGATGGGTGATGGATGGATGGATGATGAATGGTAGAGGAAGAGAGAGAAGAAGGGAGGGAGAGGGAAGGAAGGAAGAAGGGAGGGAGGGAGAAGAGAGAGGGAAGGAGGGGGGAAAGAAGGAAGTTTGGATGGATGGATGAATGGTTGGTTGGGTGGGTGGATGGATGGATGG